AGACAGCTTCACTGTTGCATTTCCAGTCCAGTCTATTGTCCAGGTGAACTCCAAGGTATGTATACTTCTCCACCACCTCCATTTCTCCCATGATGGAAATAGGGTTGGATTTGTTCCTGATTCTCCTGCGATCTACAATTATCTCCTTTGTTTTGTTCACATTCAAGATGAGATGATTGTACACACCATGCCACAAAGTGGTCCACCAGTTTCCTGTACTCAGCTTCTTGTCCATCTCTGATACACCCGACTACTGCAGAGTCATCAGAATATTTCTGCAGATGACAGGAGTCTGTTTTGTACTGGAAATCTGAGGTGTACAGAGTGAAAAGGAATGGTGAGAGTACAGTCCCCTGTGGTGCTCCTGAGCTACTGACCACCTGGTCAGACACACAACCCTTCAGTCTCACAAACTGTGGTCTGTCCGTCAGGTAGTCTTTGATCCAGGTGATTGTTGAAGCCTCCACCTGAGTCTTCTGGAGTTTCTGACAAAGCAAATCAGGCTGGATTGTGTTAAATGCACTGGAGAAATCAAAGAACATGACTCTCACAGTGCTGTCTGCCTTTTCTAGATGACAGTGAGTTTGCTGAAGCAGGTGAATGATGACATCTTCAACTCCAAGTCCATGCTGATAAGCAAACTGCAGTGGGTCCTGATATGTGCTTGTTTGTCTAGTTAAGTGGGTCAGCAGAAGTCTCTCTAGGACCTTCATGATGTGGGATGTCAGGGCAACAGGTCTATAGTCATTGAGGGCTGATGGGTGAGTTTTCTTTGGCACTGGAACAAGACAGGATGTTTTCCACAACACTGGAACCTTCTCCTGGGTCAGGCTAAGGTTGAAGAGGTGCTGCAGAACCCCACAGAGCTGCTCTGCACAGACCTTCAGGACTCTGGGACTGACACCATCTGGACCTGCTTAATGCTGGATCACAGCTTATAGGAAATTAGGGTTTGGTTTAGGTTGGATGTGAGGTAGAGGAGAAAGAGAATTCCTGAAATGATCTAAATGAAGTCATAGACAGCATTCCAATGCCCCTTTTCCACTGTTACGGTGCGGATCAGGTCAGTTCGGGTCAGCTCAGATCGGCTCGTGTGTCATTGCGTTTCCATTTACACTTCTGGACCGGCTCTGTAGGTGGGGACCAGAATCCAACTTTTACCACCTGGTGGTGGTAGTGCTCCCTTAGGCTATTTACTTAGCCACCACTAAACGTTGTGTTAGAAGAAGAACACCCTTAAGGCTTTGTCACATGATGTTGTGGAAGAGATGTCATGCAAAGGAGTACCTCATGAGCTGTAACTTTTAAACCGGATACATAATCCTACCTTACTGCCTTCCCTGCCTGCTTTAAACCCATGGGTTTTCCATTTTAGTATAGATTTTTACAATAAAGATGTATTAAAAATATCTTCACTTTTGTTATTTACAGATATGCACAAGGTTCATGTTAAAATTGCAAAATATCACACTGTGCTGTAATCTTTGAAACTGCTTTTACAATAAGCTACAGACTTGAAAACAGGTTAAATTTTGTCCTTAAATTTTAAAGGTTTGTCTTTCATTAAATTAAAAAACATAAATGTATTACATATTAATATAAAAAAGTTAAGTCTGGTCCTCTGGACATTCAAAAAACAAATCAAACAAAAAAAATGTATTGCTTATTTATGATAAAAATGTATTGTTTGTTTTGTTTTGTGAATGTCCAGAGGACCAGACTTAACTTTGTTAGATTTTTCTACCTGGATTATTGAGCATGCATCAGGATATTAATTATTAAATAGTCAGTTGGTCTTCAAACACCTTCAGGGTCCTCCTAGAAGAGCTGAAGAGGTGGTTGTTGATGTCTGTGCCTCCCTGGTAAAACTGCTGCCCCCACGACTCGGAAGCAGAAGATGGATGGATGGCTGGCTGGATGGATGGGTGGGTGGGTGGGTGGGTGGATGGATGGATGGATGGATGGATGGATGGATGGATGAGGGCCCTGGTAAAGCTGCTCCCCCCACGACCCGGAAGCAGAAGATGATGGATGGATGATAGATGGATGGTGAAGAAGGAGACCATCAAACACAGCAGGAGTGGTCAGTTCAGTTGACTGTTGGCTTCAGATCAGCTGTTCAACTTTCTACAGGTTCAAATAAAAGATGCACCAGGGCTTTCAGCTGAATCTCTCGGGCCACAGTTTACTGATAACTGTCCTTTCTGAATTTTTGACTGTTTTTGCCTCACTTCATCCTAGAACCAAAAAATGTATAACATAATAACAGTTGAGCAGATTCTGGTAATCTTTTCTTAGGATTCATTAAAGATCAAATGCAATTGGAAATTTTTCTCAACTTCCAGTATGGATTTAAACAAACACTATGCACACTTAACATTGTAAAATTTGTTTAGGAAATTTAATGTTCAAGGACACCACTTAAGAAAAAAAAAAAAAATAGGAAAAGTAATGTGAAAAATGTACAAAAATAAAAATACTGCATCCAACTAATGATTGTCTATCTATCTATCCCTTGTCATACGGTTTTCATCCAGAAGAAGACGCACGTGTTGTTCCTGCTGTGTCCAGTTCAGTTCTTCATGTTCATTAAGTGCTGAAATAAGACTTTTCTTTACTGGACTCTTTTCGCTTTCTCTTGCCTAGAAAGAAGAAAAGGTGGTTAATTCAAGCAACATACTGTTTTTGAATAAATGCATAAAACAAAGAAAAGTGCTGCTAACAGCTATAATAGCTATATTAATAATAAGAAACTGATAAAATAAGAAAATGAAAAAAATTGATTTAAAAATAATGAAAATAATATAATAATAACAATGGATATATGAATCAGAAAGTATTATACAGATACAGATATTCTTTATTGTCATTCGGACCACATGTGGTACATGTAGTGGATCAAAATTATGTACACAGGGTCCTAGTTACCCATCCATCCATCCATTATCTTTTACCCGCTTATTCCATTTTGGGTCACGGGGGTCGCTGGTGCCCATGTCCAGCAATCACTGTGCGAGGGGCGGGGTACACCCTGGATGGGTCGCAAGTCCATCACAGGGCCACATAGAGACAAACGAGACAAACAACCATTCACTCTCCCACTCACACCTAGGGACAATTTAGAGTTACCAATCAGCCTAACATGCATGTTTTTGGTCTGTGGGAGGAAACCGGAGCACCCGGAGAAAACCCACGCATGCACGGAGAGAACATGCAAATTCCACCCAGAAAGGCCCCTGGACCGGGGTTTGAACCAAGGACCTGCTCGCTGAGAGGCAGCAGTTCTACCAGGTGCGCCACCGTGCTGCCGGTCCCAGTTACATCCAACAATAAAATGTAAAAGAAAAACAATAATAAGATCTAAGATATGAACTAAGAAAAACATCAACGAAAAATATGCTAAGCACTAATAGCATAAAAACAATAAACACAATACACTGAACAGCAGCATGGACATGAGTCTGTGTGAACAGATGAGCACAAATGAACACAGCAACATGAAACAGATCAGCAGCAACATGATGTGATTTTTCACAGTGATTATCCTGGTCAGATATTCATAAGGCTGCGCAAACTCAAGTTCATGTTGCTGTTTGATGTATTGTTTTGATTATTTAATGCTATTAGTGCTTACTGTATTATTAGTATATGTTTTTTAGTTTATATTTTTCTTAATTCATATCTTAGATCTTATTACTGTTTTCCTTTTACATTTTATTGTTGTCTGTAACTGGGACCCTGTGTACATAACTTCGTCCCACCACATGTTCAACATGTGGTGCGTATTCAGTATTTATTCAACATTTTATTTTTTTACTTTAAAAATAAAATAAAAGCAAGTCCTTATCGGCATGAATAAAGTGATGTGGAACATGTTGCATCTGTTCTTACCAAGTACAGAAGGCTGCAGCGTTGTGCTGCTCTGTGAGGTGCAGGTGGGCTGCGAGCCTGCGATGGAGATTTGTCAGGTGTAGACTCCACTGATGAAGCAGGGGCAGAAGCCGGGAGGCTTGGAGGGTTGAATGTGGAGATTAGAGACGAACCGTCACGCGCTGAAATACGTTCTGGATAAAATACAGTGAGAAATGGGACCGGAGGACAGTTAGCGTTTATGCAAATTAGCTTAGCATTGTAGCACCGATGTTGTCCTATTATGGCGTCAGCCTCTTTTGTTAGTTAAAAATATGTTCAGAACCGATGGGATGAGTAACTTAAAATATGTTTAAAGTTAGAAAATACTCACCATCTTCTATAAATGATTCAAGTAGAGCAGTGGCCGTGTCCAAACCACCCTCCAATCGCTCCATATGGCTCGTTTTGACTTCGTTGGCCACTAAACACAACAACACCTGCACTTCTGCATTTGACCACGGCTTTGATATTATTGTTTTTGTATAGCTTCAAAATACTAAAAGATACGCTCCTCGAGTTATCGCTAATGGCAGGCGGTAGAGAAAAATGGCAGATCGGGTTGTTTGGAAAGACTTCACAAATTCCTCCCCCCGACCAATCAGTGACCGACGGTGTTTCTGACGTCACGGCTCTGCTTGCTTGGACCCCTTGAGAAGCCGGGCCAGAATTCTGGGAGGTGAGCCAGTCACAAGAACCATGGAAAAGACCTCAAACGCGTCAAGCCGGAAATATCTGACCCGCGACGTGACAGTGAAAAAGGGGCACAAGGCAGGAGAGAGTGGTGATCGGAGAAGACCTGAATGGACACGTTGGTGAAGTTAACAGAGGTGATAAGGAAGTGATGGGCAGGTTTGGGATGAAGGAAAGAAACCTGGAAGAACAGATGGTGTTGGACTTTTGCTAAGAGGATGAAATGGCTGTAGTAAAAATTTACTTCCAAAAGAAAAAAATAATATATATGTATATAGATATATACAGGATATATATAGCCTGCCTCCACTATAAAAGTGAAGCCAGGAGTATTCAAGTCAACTACATTCTGTGTAAAAGAGGTAACTTGTAGACTCCAAGGCTGTGGCAGGGGAGAGCGTGGCCAGACAGCATCGGTTGGTGGTGTGTAGGATGACTGTTGTGGTGAAGAAGAGGAAAAGAGGAAAATCAGATAAGAAAACAATATGGTGGAAGTTGAGGACAGAATAATGTTGTAAGTTCAGAGAGGAGCTGTTAAAAGTGTGGGGAGCAAGAAAGAACTTCAAGATGAATGGGCTAATACAGCAAGTGACTGGAAAAACAGGTAGTAAGGTACTTGGTGTGCCATCTGGACAGAGATGTACTCCTGTGTCTGGCTTATTCTCAATCCAAAACCTGCCCGTGACAGAATAATTCAGCCAAAATGGATTCAAAGCCAGAACAGGAGTGGCTCTCTGGACTCGAGGGCTCATTGATTAACCTGGACATTAAGATGCAGCTCATTTTCTTTCCAAGATGGCGCCGGTGTGTAGGGCTGCCCGTCTCTCGCTCTCTGCTTGTATTTTATTTTTGTTATTTTTACAATGGTTTGTGCAGTGTGCCGAGTCATATTTTCAGTATGATCGTCGGGCACTTTTGGAGCTCCGTACATTTGCTGAAATTCCCGCGGAGTTTTTGAACAGCGGCCAGCACTCTCCCCCACCGGTCCTATCTGAGATTCCTGCGTTCCTTCTGCGTGACCCTGGCCTTTCTCCATGGAGGAAACGTCGCAGACGTCGTGGGAAGCGTGCAGGGATTTTGGTGAAACTGAGGCAAAGTGTGGATTATTCTAACAGGACTCGCTCTGGATCTGATCATCTCCTCTCTGACCCGTGGTGCTCCCGGGGCCCGGCTGCTGGCCAGCTGCCCGCGCGCTCAGTCCATGGAAACACCTGGAGTTGTTTACCTGTGCGCCGCACCAGCAGACCAGGAGGAGCCGTTCTTCATAACCTGCGCCCGCTGGCGCGCGCGTCTCCCTCCACGGCTGTGCCTGTGTCGGACAATATCAGGATGTGTTTAATCAACGCAAGGTCTGTTTCCAACAAGACGTTTATCCTCAATGACTTTTTTAAAGATGAGGAGTTGGATTTTCTGTTCGTCACAGAATCTTGGATTTCTGATGGTGAGTCCAGCGCCCTGGTGGAACTACTTCCTCCGGACTGCGTATGTTGCAATGCCCCGCGGCCATCAGGTCGGCGCGGGGGCGGATTATTAACAGTTTTTAAAGCAAACTTTGCCTGTAAACAGTTGTCCATCCCGGTGTCCCGCGCCAGCTTCGAGCTGAGCGTCTTTGAACTTGGACACTCTCCTCCGGTCCTGTGTGCGCTCATCTACCGCCCACCTCGTTCTAAGGACTTCATAAATGAATTCTCTGACTTTTTGGCTGATATCACACAGAGATACACTCACTTTTTGCTTATTGGTGACTTTAATTTGCATGTGTGTTGTCAGGAGAAGCCCTTAGTGAAGGACTTTCTGGATTTATTGGACTCTTTTGGCTTATCTCAGCAGGTGAGCGGCCCCACCCAAGAACATGGTCACACGCTGGACCTCGTTTTAACACGCGATGTCTCTGTTTCTAATTTGAAAATCGGTGACAATGTTTTTTCAGATCACATGCCTGTATTGTTTGACTTCACCCCCCCTTGTCATACTGCTAAGACGTGCGTTCCTGCACGTACGCGTTCCATTAATCATTTCACTGCTGCTCGTTTTAATGAAGGTTTTAATTCTGAGAGGATCGAACAGCTCTCGGTGTCTCTTACCACTGAGGAGCTAACCTCTCAGTTCAACTCTGCCTGTTTAGATGTTCTGGACCGTGTTGCTCCCCTTAAGACCAGAAAAACGAAACTTAAATCAGAGCCTTGGCTGAATGACGTCACGCGAGCCGTTAGGAGGCAGTGTCGCAAAGCTGAACGAAAGTGGAGGAAGGACAGGCTCCAGGTGTCTTTTCAAATGTTAAGGGAGAGTTGGCGTCACTATCAGAAAACCGTTAAAGCTGCCAAATGTAAATTCTTTTCTGATTTAATTGTCTCCAACTCCCACAACCCCCGAGTTCTTTTCTCCACCCTGAACTCAGTTCTACACCTCAGTGAGCCTTCACCTCTGGAAGCCTCAACTGAGCTGTGTGAGAACTTCCTCCATTTCTTTTTAGAAAAAGTGGCAAACACCCGGGCACTCATTTCTCCACCAGCTCATGATCTGTCCATCCCTTCTCAGTGTGTGGCTGTGTTTGACCACTTTAAGCCCATCTCTCTGTCCTCTCTGGAGCAGGTAATGTGCAGCATGAAGCCATCTGGTTCCCCCTTTGATGTGGTCCCCCCTCGACTACTAAAGGAAGTTTTTCCTACCCTGGGTCCTTTTATCCTCACTATTCTGAATAGCAGTTTATCCTCAGGTGTGGTGCCAAAGACTTTTAAACATGCTGCTGTCCAGCCCCTCCTGAAAAACCTAACCTTGACCCCTCAGTCATGTCCAACTTCCGGCCTGTCTCCAGACTCCCATTCACCTCTAAACTACTGGAAAAAATTGTGGAGTCTCAGTTGAAACAGTTTTTGGGGGATCACGCTATCCTTGAGTTATTCCAATCTGGCTTCAAATCTCTCCATAGCACTGAAACTGCTCTACTGAAGGTTTTTAATGACATTTTCATATCCACAGACGCAGGTGATTCTGTGCTGCTTGTCCTATTGGACCTTACATCTGCTTTTGACACCATCGACCACAATATCCTCATTTCTAGACTGGAGCAGTGGGTGGGTATCACAGGGTCAGCCCTTAAATGGTTTGGGTCCTACCTCTCTGACAG